AGAGAGTCCCAAGCAGGCTTCACACGGTCAGCGCAGAGCCTGACACGGGGCTCGAACTCACGAACTCTGAGATCACGACAGATCACGATCGGAGCCAAAATCAAGAGTCAGATGCTTAACCGACTGAGCCACCCAGGTGCTCTGGGACTGAGCTCAATTTTAAACATTTAACCAGGGGAAGGGAGAGTGCAGAGACCTGGACTAGTAGGGCGGGACCTGGGACCAAGAGCAAGTTCAAAGCCAGGAGGCCCGGTCAGGAGGTCAGCAGAAACTGGGTCAGAAGGAGGAATTTGGACTTTATCCTGAGGCCGCCCGCCAGGAGCGCCAGGAGCGGCTGGAAGTAGGGTAGGGAGTGCAGGGTCAGTGGGCCCCTGGCACCTGCGCGTGGCTCACTGTGTGTGCCCTGGCCCCGTAGCCCTTCGGGAAGGAAGAGGGAGCCTGCTCTTCAAACTTCCTCCGCCCAAGCAAGGCTCCCATCATCCCGGGCAGGTCGCCTGGGCCCTAAGTAGGCAGGGGCAGGGAGAGGGGGTGTCTTCAGCTGTGAATCCGGGCAGTCAGAACCGAGGGGCAGGCCTTCAGGCCTCTGTAAGCCTATGGGCTTCTGCAGCCCTGCCTGAGCCTGAGGGACCCACCTATGTCTGGCTCCCTGAGGCGGCTTGACCTTGAACTCTCACTGACTGAGAAGAGCCATTTCCTTGAAGGTTTCCCCTCCCCGTCCCCAAGCATTGTGCCCTGGCTGCCTGCGTGGGAACCCAGTTCCAGCTCCACAGCTTATGAGCTGTGTGACCTCTGGGAAGTTACCTCACCTCTCTGTGCCTCACTTTGTTCAAGTATTGTGACGATTAACAAAGAACAGCCTGTAAGACAGCCACCTTATTGAGGGTGGTCTTTGTGCCTTGTGATTAAGTCTTTTTGTATGGCTGAGGAAGCAGAGGGTCAGAGGTTGCTGGTTAATAGGCAAGAGATGAGGTGGAAAGGGCCTAGATTTTAGCCTCCAGCCCTGGGCTGGGGTTTGTCCCAAGATTAAACTCTTCCTCATTCCAAAGCCCTTTGGTCTCGGGGACTTGTGAGCCATCCTATAGCTTCTCTCTCCGCCTGTGAGCTGTGCTTTACCCCTGGGGACAGAGCTAGACCATGAGGTTGGTGTTAGATGAGACAGTACCAGAAAGGATGATTTGGACCAGGGCCCGCCAGGTTGGGAAATGGAAGCGGGCAGCACTACAGGGGACAGGGACAGCACTATCAGCGTTCTGCACCAGAGGGTCCTGCTTGTCTTGAGAGAAGCCTCCTCCTTGAAGCCTTCCCTGACCACTTTGCAATCTTATCAGAGAATTCCTGGGGCCTGAGAAGTTGCAGCTTAGCCTAGGCAAGCAGAGTGCCCTGTACGTGGTAAGGGCCAACCATCTATATATCACTGAGGCACTTCTAGAGAGTCGTCCCATGTATTAGCTCATTTCATCCTCCTAACGGCCCTGGGAGGGAAGGATGCTACGTTTACAACCTCAGGTCTAAGGTTCGGGGACGTTTGAATGTCTTGTTCATGGAGCATTGGCTGAGACACAAGTCCTGGCCCCCTGGTTCCAAGTCAAACGCAGTCTGTGCCCTACAGCACTTCTCCTGAGGCTAGGGCTGTCTCTGAACGCGTAATTTAAACTCCAAATTTCCTAGCAGCCAAGGTAAAAAGGAAGGTCTGATAAGACAGGTAGTTCTCCCTCCGCTGAAACAAAGAAACCGATCAGTTTGTCTGAAGTTTCAGACCTCTTCCTAGTGCTCGATGCCAGGGGGAATGAATTCATGGCTTCTATGTAACATCCTCACCCGGGGACTTGCAGAAGAGTTACAGAAACTTGTCCGAAACAACCATTTCCTCTTCTTTGTTTTAAAGTTTATTTATGGGGGTGACTGGATGGCTCAGTCGGTTAAGCGTCCAACTGCGGCTCAGGTCATGATCTCACGGTTCATGAGTTTGAGCCCCGCGTTAGGCTCTGTGCTGACAGTTCAGAGCCTGGAACCTGCTTCGGCTTCTGTGTCTCCCTCTCTCCCTGCCCTACCCCCAACTGTGCTCTGTCTCTCTCTGTCTCTCAAAAATGAATAAATGTTAAAAAAATTTTTTTTAAACAACCATTTCTTACGTTGATCCCACTAGAGGCCAAAGGCAAGCCATTGGTGAGAACTTGAGGTAGAATTTACCAGGGAGAGGACACTAACAGACTCCAGGTGAGGTTTCCCAGCTTCTCATTTGATTCAGGGTGGAGCTGAGCCATCAGCACAGCCAGCACCTCAGGTAGAAAGAGCTGGAACAGAGCTGGAGCCACAGAGAGCAAGGTTCAAACCTTGGCCCTATTACCTGCTATGTAACCTTAGGCAAGTTACTTAATCTCTCTGAGCCCCATTTTCCCCCATCTGTAAGATGGGAATGAGAATGCATTCCTCAAATAATTATTGTGGGGGAGTCGTTCATTCATTCAGTACAAATTCATTACCTTTGCCTGTGCCAGGCGCTGTGCTAGGCTCTGGAGATACAGTGATAGACACAAGCCCTTGCAAAAAACTTGCCCTTGTGAAATTGATATTCCGGTGGAGAGAGAGAATAACAAATAATAAAGCAGGAAACCATCAGCTGGTAGGAAAAAGAAGAGTATTTCTTTTTGTCTGCCAGACATGATTCTGGCAGATTACTGGACACCCTCTAATTTTCATTTGCCTTTTCGTCCCGGGTAATAGAGCTCTGGATACACGACTTCCCCAAATAAAGACTACATTTCCCAGGCTCCCTTGAAGCCGAGTATAGCCATGTGACTAAGTCCTGGCTAATGGGGCGCGAGCAGAAAGTCTCCAGGAAATAGCCTGCAAGAGAAGGGGCACATCCTTCCTTACCCTTTCCTCCTCCCTGCTGGCTGGAATGCAGAAGTGATGGCTGAAGCTCAAGCAGCCATGATGAACCATGAAGAGAAAGCCACATGTCAAGGATGCCACAGAATAGAAGGTACCCGGGCGGGGTCCCTGACACTGCAGAGCACCATGCCAGCCGGGGAGCTCCAACCTCCAGATTTTACATCAAAGAGAAATAAACTCCCATTTTGCTTTAAACCGCTGAGATTTGGGGTTGTCTCTGACACACAGTCCACGCTGATTTTCCTTGACGCAGTAATAGAGTGGCTGGAGGTTATCTCGAAATGGATGGTCAAAGAAGGTCTTTTGTGGGGGGTGACATTGATCTAAGGCCTGAATGGTGAGAAGGAGTGGGCGGTGGGGGGGAGGAGCATCCAGGCAGGGTGGG